TGGGTGGGTGAAAACGGCAACCACATGCCATCACATTGGCCTCCCATAGTCGTAGGGCTTTAGGTGAATAATGTTAATTTTAATTCACTATAAATATTTTCATTGTATTGGTTGAGTTTTTAGGTGAAAAACTTGTATTGGTTAAGTTGAAATCTAAGACTAAATATATAAAGTCTTTATCTAGACTTTTTTTCTTCTAAAAGACCATTTGTAGTTTCTTAATTTTTCTTTCTTTGAATTTGTATATATTCATTTTGGCATGAAAATATGCCGTGATCATTTTGAATATTGAAATGCATAAACATTTCTAAAGTAAAAGTCAGAATAAATTAATAACGTACTACTAGTAGGTTGAAATCTCAATCAAAATTTCCCCAAAAAAGGAAAATTTGGAGTATTTTGGGAGAGATAGAAGATCAAATTTGGAGATCCACATCGGTATTCTAGAAATTTTTTACTTTGGTCCACCATTATCAAAAATGGACCAATATAAAGCTATTTGACCTTTCAAATTAAACGTAACAATAGTCATGGATGCATACATGAGATAACGTGGGTTCACGTCCACTTGTGTATTACACTATATGGTTTCATGTGAACTTATCATACCAAAAAACATTAAGATATCTGTATCCCAAATTTTGTACTTCAAATTATACATCACAGATGTGCACTTTGTAAAACTAGAGTTATGATTCTCACAGACACAAAATATTAATGCAAGTTTTTTTATCGCACTAAAATTTTGTGTCAGTGTGAATCATTAAAATGTTAGTGTATTTCTTTGGTGTAATTTTGAGATAACTCGTTGGTGTAATTGTACATTGGTTGTACCAAAAAAATATTACTCACTCCATCCCCAAAAAAATATTCTTTGTTTGACTTAGCACAAACTTTAAGGAAAATGAAAAAACGTGAGATTGAAAGTAATCATTTCTGAGAGGAAGATTCGGAGTCACTCAAACTTTTTCATAAAAAGAAAGATAAGCCTTTTTGAGGACACCCTAAAAAAGAAATAAAGAGTTTTTTTGGGACGAATCGAGTATAAAATGTTAATTTACAGTGATACATTGTTACTGTCTAAATTATTACTCCCTCCGTCCGATTTTATTTTGTCCGTTTTGAATTTGCGCATATTTAAGGAAGTGAAAAAATATTCTTGATTTTTCAAAAATGTCCTTACTTTTTTAGGGGGGCGGCGATGAATGGGAGGACAAGGTGGAGAAGAGTGACTTATTTTAAGGATAGTTTAGGCATTTTACCTTACTATAATAAGAAACAGACAACTTATTTTGGGACAGACAAAAAGATTAAAAAATAATTTAAAATGGGACGGAGGAAGTATTTTGAAAGTAAAAGTATATCATTTCTATATTTGAGAAAATGCGGAGGGGCCCGCATGGGTAGCTCAGTTGGTCAAGAGCGTGAAATCTTGGACCGATAACCAGGGATCGAGTCCCGCAAGCGGCAATGTGGGAACTATCCAAAAATCCCATAAAGGGTGAGGAGGCTCCTTGTGCGCGGTGGGCACGGGTCTAGCGTTCTTGGCCGACTGAGTCACCATGATTTACATCCTCCACCATTTCTGTCGGGCAAGGGGGTGGGGCACCTGGAGTGGGGCGATTCCACCTTTTGGAACGAGGAAATGCAGAGGGATTAGATAATCTTCTTAAAACATTTAACTCTAATTTTCAAGGGGTTCACGTGTGAGTGTTCCCATTAACTGATGGAAGTCCGTACGAGGTTTACTATTTTTCTATGTATATATATTTCCATTGTTGTATGAATCCCCCCCTTCAAAGAAAACCAAAGAAGAAAGAAAGAAATATTACTATAACTAAGTGATGTCTTCTTCCTTATTATCTTCCCATAATAGTTCAGAGAAGAAGCTTCCGCTTCGGGAAATCCCAGGTGGTTACACCTTCGCCGGTTCCTCATTCCTAGGAGCCCTCAAAGACAGATACGACTACTTCTACACCCACGGCGGCGGCCCGGACAACTTCTTCCTCTCCAAACTCCGAACCCACGGCTCCACCGTCTTCCGCACCAACGTGCCGCCGGGCCCATTCATCTCCGGCGACTCCAGAGTGATCGCCGTCCTCGACTCCGCCGCCTTCCAAATCCTCTTCGACAACTCGAAAGTCGAGAAGAAGGACGTCTTCGACGGCACTTTCATGCCCTCCACCGCCTTCTTTGGCGGCTACCGCCCCTGCTCCTTCCTCGACACCTCCGAGCCGCCCCACGCCGCCCTGAAATCGTTCATCTTGTCCACCCTCGCCCGCCTCCACAAGCGTTTCCTCCCCCTCTTCGCCGCCTCCATGGGAAACCTCTTCGACACTCTGGAGGAAGAGGTCTCCCAGAAGGGGAAAGCGGGGCTCAACCCCGTCAACGACCGGGTGTCCTTCGATTTCGTTTTCAGGCTTTTCTGCGACGGCAAAGATCCGTCGCAGACTGAGCTAGGAGACCGCGGGACGAAGCTCGTCGACCCCTGGACGTTCTTCCAGCTTCACCCCATCCTGTCTCTCGGGTTGAAGTTCGTCCCGAACTTTCTAGAAGACCTCGTTCTCCACACATTCCGCCTTCCGTTCTTCGCCGTGAAATCGGACTACGAGAAACTCTGTGCCGCCTTCTCGGAGTCGGCCAGTTCCATACTGGCCGAGGCCGAGAAGAGCGGGCTGGAGAGAGAGGAAGCTCTCCATAACCTTGTTTTCTTAGCATGCTTCAACTCTTACGGGGGCATGAAAGTCTTTTTCCCGTCCCTGATCAAGTGGGTCGGCGCCGCGGGTGAGGATTTACATCGCCGCCTCTCGGAGGAAATCAGGACCGTCGTTAAGGAGGAGGGCGGCGTGACGGTGACGTCACTGGAGAAGATGAGTTTGACCAAGTCGGTGGTCTACGAGTCGCTGAGGATCCAACCGCCGATCCCGTTCCAGTACGGGAAGGCCCGGGAGGACACCGTGGTCCGGAGCCACGAATCGGCGTTCCTTATTAAAAAGGGGGAAACCATCTTCGGATATCAGCCGTTCGCCACGAAGGACCCGAAAGTGTTCGCGGACCCGGACCGGTTCGTCCCGGACCGGTTCGTGGGCGATGGAGATCGCCTACGACACGTGTACTGGTCAAATGAGAGAGAGACCAGCAATCCGACGGCGGACAACAAACAGTGCCCGGGGAAAGATCTGGTGGTGCTCATGGGCAGGCTTGTTCTGGTGGAGCTATTTCTACGCTACGACTCATTCCAAGTACGGTGGGAGAAGCTCCCCCTGGGTTCTTCCGTCACCATCACGTCATTTACAAAACGTGCTTAATTCATCTCAATTTAATGTCACCAAATAAACAAATTTATTTTTACTATTTAAAAAAAGGGAAAGAAAGAAATAAAGGGCAGGATTGTAATTTTCTTTTTAATGGGATGGATTTATATAGCAATATAAGGCATGGAATTTCCGCACCAATTTGGATTAAAATAAATTATTGTCTCGAAGTTCTCAAGTTTAATTTTCGGTCAAATGAAATTGTTTTTGTATTAACTAGACTCGAACTCGTGCGTTGCACGGCCTAAGTTAAAGCTAAATAAATACGAGAAGCATTGATAGAAGTAAAACATAAAACTTGCTTTAAACAAAGATACGTAATATATATTAAAGAGGAGGAGTTTTACAACAACGCACAATGTGATAGAATAACAATATATGTTTTGAAAAATTTCTTTATAGACTACATTTGCAGTTTTATTAGATGTCGCAGGATCTTCACCACAAAAAATATCTTTAATCATTTGCAAGTAGTGACTCGTGATTAAACCACATAAAGCTGACCATGACTGAATACAAATTTCTTTAGTAAAAGCCCAACATGCGTCAATGATTGTCCTTGACTTTTATTAATTGTCATAGCATAAGAAATCATAATCGGGAACTGTTTCCTTTGAAATTTAAAAGAAATTCTTGTATCCGATAGCGTAAGTAACAATCGCGGGATAACAATGTTATTTGTAAATTCTGAAAAATGCATGTCACTTAAGAAATCTGAATTTGAATCAGATTTACACTCAGCATCTGAACTCAAGTAACCTCTAGCTTCTCCCGTTTTGTTCAATGATGTTATGTACTCATTGATTTCATCCACAACTTCTAGTGTTTGTGCCAAGATTGTTCTACTTTGCAAATATGTCGAATCAATCGCAATATTGTGAAAGTCTGTATAAGTTGAATTTACTACAAACACAATTAAATGTTTATTTCATTAACCAATGTCTGATTCGTTGGATTGGTTCGTGGCTCTATGTACGACAACTCGTAGTTTACAATTATTAATTGCTTTAATCAAAATTTATATGCTCTAGGTAACAATACATTTTCTTTAAAGAAAAATTTAGTTTTAAATCCAAACAGAAGGACACTTCTCTTCTTTTAAATCAAAATATTTAAGTCATAGAGCCATGAAAATTTAGTATATTTTCAAAAAATGTTTTTGAATTATTCTATATTTTTTAATTAGCATCACAATTTGCATTAAATAGTTCGTGGCTCAATACCCACGTTTTCCAATATATATCATCTATTACATACACTAAATGTTTATTGCGTTAACAATATTTAAAAGATACGAAGAGTCAAGACTCTAGGTAAGAAAACTCGTAATTTATAGTTATATTGCTTTAATTAATATTTATAAACTCTAGATAATAAAGTATCTTGGTTAAAGTGAAATGCAAGACGTCAAAATAAATATCCCAAAACATGTTTTTAATGCCTTCACGGGTACCAAAGACCCATTAGCCCAACCAAAACCCCATCTGCCCAATCGGAGAAATTTTCTTCTTTGCTCAATCCGATACCCAAACTTAATATCCAAATCGTACCCGGGAACTTTAGGTGAGAAGATAGCACAGTTCATTTCTTCCCTTTATAAATAACATATAGTCTGGATAACCAACTCTCCACATTAAATGCATGTATTTGTTAAATCTTTTTTTATTTGATTAGACATAAAGATTGCCTTGAGCCACGCATTTCTTTTTCTCGATTCTCGAAAACATAAAGCATGCATTTTTCAAGCTTTTTCCTTTTTCGTTTTTCCAGGAAGAGTAATGATGAAGCACGCGGTTTTATGACTACATATCCAACTCTCCACATTAAATGTATATATTCGTTAAATCTTTTCTTTTATTCGATTAGACATAAAGATTGTCTTGAGCCACGTATTTCTTTTTCTCGATTCTCGAAAACATAAAGCATGCATTTTCAAGATTTTCCTTCTTCGTTTTTCCATGAAAATAATGATGAAGCACGTGGTTTTATGACTATATATTCGTTAAATCTTTTCTTTTATAAGATTAGACATAAAATTTGCCTTGAGCCACACATTTCTTTTTCTTGATTCTCGAAAACATAAAGCATGCATTTTTAAGCTTTTGCATTTTCGTTTTTCCATAAAAAGTAATGATAAAGCACACGATTTAATGGTTATATATCCAACTATCCACATTAAATGTATATATTTGTTAAATATTTTCTTTTATTCGATTAGATAAAGATTGTCTTGAGCCACACATTTTTTTCTTGATTCTCGAAAATATAAAGCATGCATTTTTCAAGCTTTTGCTTTTTCATTTTTCCATAAACAATAATGATGAAGCATGCGGTTTTATTGCTACACATCCAACTATCCACATTAAATGCATATATTTGCTAAATCTTTTCTTTTATGTGATTGGACATAAAGATTGCCTCGAGCCACGCATTTCTTTTTCTCAATTCTCGAAAACATAAAACATGCATCACCACGAAAACTCCACATTAAATACCAATAAACTTAAAAGACCAAATCAATATTAAACTTGAACTCTACTTTCACCCATCACCATAGGAAAAGTTTTCTTTTAGTGATGGTGATCTGCAACGCCATAGAGATAAACACATAACCAAAGATAACCATTTAAAAAAAGAATCAGTGGTCAATTCTAATTAAATCAAGTTTATTGACATTTCCACATCTTTTTTAAAGTAAATTTTTACAACATGTAGTGAAGGAAACAAAAGGCACACATAAAACATAAAGCATTTAAGTACAAATATTATTCCATCACTGAACCATTTTTAATCTGCATGTTGGGCTCATAAATATTATTTTCGTTTTTTCCATCATTTGACTATTTTTTTGAAGATTACAAATATTTTTAAGTATTCAGATTGTATTTAAGATTCAATTTTAATTAAGATCAAAATATAATTCATGTTTAGCTAGATAAAATCATACTTGAAAAACTACAACTGCGGCAAATATTAAAGTGAAAAAAACCAATCTTGAAAATATTTGTAGTCTTCTTGCTTTGAATTTCAGCCACGACCGCCGAAGGCAACGCAGCAACAAAGTTACTTAGCCTGCAGCACCGCCAAAAAAACAAAACTCAAAATTTATAAAAGAGATGTAAACTGATTGCGAGAAAGATCAACATGCATTTACTGGTAGTCGGGTACAATGAGATTACATATTGAATTGCAAGACCATAGTACTAATTAGTCACATGAATACTAAATCTCTTTCCAACAAAATAAAGAAATGGTTACAATAGATGAAAATCCTTGCTTCTAAAAAATCTGCAAAAATTGTCGAAAAAATATCAAACACAAAGAAATGAAGAAACTAATCCCTAGAAATTTAATTTTGGAAGAAGGCGTATAAGAAAAGAATGGATGGCTAACCTGAGTTTAGGGGAGTGATGAGAGCAGCCGTGCAAGGACGGTTCTTCTGCCTCTCCTCTTTTGTCTCCATTCCAAGCTTTGTTATCTATGGCGGTTGTAATCCATCGACTAAAAACCTAGCCTCATTTGCTGTGTCTGAAAGTTCGTCCGTATATTTGGCCAAGAAGCTGATGATAAGAAATCGTTAGAATCCACCTTCGCCTCTTGACCCTCTTTGATTCAATCCCGGTGTGAGATGCGAGAATCGCGGGAGAGAATCGCTAAAAGCAAACCTAATAAATTGTTGCGAGATCTTCATTCGGAATTGAGAGAGGAGACGACCTGCTCGGCCAAGACGCCGGCGATTTCCTCAGCCAAGACACCGGCGATTTGCTCGGCCAAGACACCGACGAAATTGAGAGGGGAGACCTAATTGTGAGTAGCTTACCGCGATTTGCTCGGTCAAGACGCCGGCGATTTGATCGGCCAAGACGCCGACGAAATTGAGAGATGAGACCTAATTGTGAGTAGCTTACCGCGATTTGCTCGGCCAAGACGCCGGCGATTTGCTCGGCCAAGACGCCGACGAAATTGAGAGAGGAGACCTAATTGTGAATAGCTTACCACGATTTGCTCGGCCAAGACGGCAATTTTTATTTACTCTACACCAGCATATTTGGGAATAGCAGCCATGCCTTATCTTTTCGCAGGGAACACGATTCTCCACACAGCCATGCCTTTTCTTTTCGCACGGGGCTCAAAATATAATTATTGCTCTGTAAAAGTGTACTTGTTATGCAGGCTTTCTATTCCTTCAATGCACAGCCCCTAAATTGACAGGCCCAATTAATGTCTCCGATCCTTACTCGGCCCAGCAGAATCAGGCCCAAATCCGTCCTCCCAAATGGGCGGGAACACTGTTCAAAACCACATCTTACCATTGTATATATAGTAAGATATGTAATGTGTTGAGTCGAGAGTGTCTTAGAAACCATCTCTTTTAGATTCAAGTAACGGTAACACGTAAGGTCTTTCTACACGCGCCTTCTTACGCTCGTGGGATTAACCGGGTTGCTATTGTTGTTGTATTAATATGTAATGTATAGTGTTTTGGCAATAATCAAAATTTGTTTCAATTGCAAAAAAAATTGGACACCCATTTTGACTCGTAAGTAGTGCTCTCTCTCTCTTTACATACTCTATCTATCTCGAATTTTATTACACTTTTTTGGGATTACATCTCTGTAGTTTTTGTTTATTTATCACTGATTATTTGGCAAAATAAGATATATTTGTCACTTCTTATTTAGAAAATTTGACGTGATTTTTTATATGCAAATTTTATTAATTATTCTTATACCAACTTTTAAATAAGTTAATTTTAAAAAATACTCCGTATATGGTTTTGTCTCGTAAAAGAAAATTATGATTTAATTTGACTACTCTTTTTAAAAAGGGAAAAATCAAACAACTATTATTAATGATATGCATGCATGACTTTGTGTTTAAACGTGGGAATTTGAATGGTTTATTTTCCTTGAGGGAGAAGTAAATGGATATATATAAGTAGGTATAGTAGTTGAGTGCTTAATTTTCAATGTTCATTAAACGTTTGAGTAGTTAAAAACTAATTAAGACTTACGAGTACAAATTAAAAAACCACTTTTATCCATTATTTTTTCATATCATACATATTACATTATACCTTTTTTTAATAATCTATCCATCACATCCTACTTTTACCCATCACACCAAGGGTATTTTTGGAAACTCAACACAAAATTATCCCTTCTTATTTTACCACGGAGTATGAGACAATTGTTTGTGTAAGAAACTAGCTTCGAGTCAATAAACTAATTAAGCTGATTAATTTCTTTTTATTTTATGAAGATAAACCCTATTATTATTTTTGGTAAACTTTTTTCAACCTTTGACCTATAATTAAATAAAATGTACTCTCTCTGTCCCAAAAAAATTGGTACATATTGATTTTTTGGGAAATTAAGGGAAGGATATTTTGGTGTTGACTTTCCAAAAATATCCTTGATGTGATGGGTAAAAGTAGAATGTGATGGGTAGATTATTAGTAAAAAGGTATGATGTGATAGGTAGGATATGAAAAAGTAAGGGGGTAAAAGTGGTCTTTTAATAGAAATGTAACAGACTTTACGGGACGCAGTTTTTTCGAAACGTGTCAGACTTTTTGGGACAGAGGGAGTATATTGTATTTTAATGAAATAAAATACTCCCTCCGTCCCTAAATAAAGTTCCTCTTTCGTTTTTTCTTTGTCCCTAAATAAACTTCTCTTTTCCCTTAAAAAACCCCTTTTACCCCTTACTTTTTCATACCTTACCTATCACATCATACCTTTTTACTAATAATCTATCTATCACATCTTACTTTAACACATCACATCAAGAGTATTTTTGGAAAGTCAACACCAAAATATCCCTCCCTTAAATCCTCAAAAAGTCAAAAATGGAACTTTATTTAGGGACGGAGGGAGTAATATTTTGAAAATATTTGATATAATAAATCTAAGAAAACTGTTTTGTATCAATATCTAATATCATCTTTATTTAATTTGAAGTCAAAGTTCACCAATTTTGAGTGAAAAAAGTTAAGAGTGGACAAATACTCAGGAACGGAGAGAATATTTTTTTCATTTACTTTTCTTATACTCTATACCAAACACGCTTAAAGTCGTCCTAGAGGCTAGAGTGTGTACTATGTATGTTCTAATTGTACTATGTATCACGATCAATTAAATTAGAGTTGTACTATGTATGTTCTACAGTAAAATGACAATTTCATTATATTTATATTGTATAAAACCTTTAGAAATTTATTTTATTAACGTAACAAAAGTTTAACGTGATCAATGTATAAAGTTTGTATAATCTGACTCAAAAAAATAAAAAAGGCAGATACTCTAAGAGAGAGATTATTTGGAGAAAAAAGAAGCAGAAGCAGAGAGAAGACCACTGTGGTCCTTCTTCCATGTGAAGTTGTTATCATTTTATGGTCGATAATAAAGGGGAAACGATGAAGGACCAAATAATTGGTTGAGTGATAAGTATTTCTCCGTACTAGTATTTATTGGCTTAATGCTGATAAACATTTTTTAGCTTATATTTGCATATAAGTTATAAAATATTCTTTTGCAGATGTAAAATAAATTTAAAGATAGATAAGTCATTTAGAAATATTCATAAATGATGAGCAATAGTTTTACAAATAATCTTGCCAAAACTGAGTTTTGAAAAAAAGCTGGTTAAAAATAAGTAGGTAAGGTAATCACAATCTCATAGTTGTTGGGTTGGAGTGGTCCAACTCAAATAACTCCACATTTAACTCACCCTTACCTATTTTTATTATTCTTTTATTCCATTAATGTAATAGATTTTTCTAGGTGAGCGAATTATAAACTCTTTCGAGGGTTTCTTTTCGGTTATTTACCTCATCGCTTTTCTTGAGCCGACGGGATAGACAATTAGTAATTTAGGTTGAGGAATTCTTCTATATAAGGGATTACACCCCTTACGCATGGAATCATTGATAATAAATACTTCTTCCCCTATATTCTCTCTTTCTCTAAAACCCTAATAATTCTCCTTCTCCCTTGCCACCTCTGCCGGCCAGAAAACTTGTGCCTACCCTCCTTACTGCCGTCCTTGGATACCTCGAGTATCAACTGGTGTTTTCATTGTTGATCTCACAAACGCTCCGATGTCGTCTTCCGAGCCCACCCCGACGTCCTTGACCTTGGAGGATATCATGCACGCCATCAACAACCTCGGCCGAAATGGGAAGAGAAGAAAATTGGGAGAGATACATTGGGCAAAAAAATTTCTCATCTAAGGAGATGAGAAAATGATACTAATGACAAACTTGCGGAAATTTTCTCACATAAAGAAATTTTTCTTCTCTTTCACTTTTCTCACCATTTTCTTGTCATCCAAACTTGTGGGCAAAATTTGGGGTATGAGCTGTCAAATTGGGAATCAGACTCATCCGTTTAATCTACAAAAATTTACTAAAGACGTTGCCACAATTGGCAAGACAATGGGTACTCAAGAACGATAATACCCGAATTTGATTTTTGATAACTGCGTTAGATGACAACTATGATAAGCATAAGATCTCTGTTTATACTAATTGTAACTCCACTTTTTTATATCAATTTATGATTAAATTCTAATTTACCTCTTCAACAAGGTTCGAATATCATGTCACCATTTGTTTTATAAAATTTTCCGGAGTAATATATTTTTAAATATGTAAGTTTTATACTTTTTAGATCAATTTATGAATAAAATCATTTTAAAGATAGTTTCCAATTTGGAATACTTTAACAATTCCTAATGGCGACTATTCTGCTCAAAAAACTTGTTAGACATTTTTGCCATTTGTATCATACATGACAAAACCTGCAAAATTTTATAATTAACGTCGCAAATTTTATACTATTAATCATTCTTTTGCCACCAAATTAAAGGTCTCAGGAGCAATTAATTAACTCCGTAATTAATAACAGCACAGAAGTTCTCATAGAGACATATGAAAGGCAGTCTTGAAACTTCAAAGTTTCTATTATGCCATTGCCTTTGCTTCTTTATAGAGTTGATCAATGCAATCCTGCAATTTTTAAATAATTAAAAAAAATCCTAATAGTTGTAACTATTAAACATTGAGAAAAGTGCACCGTTTACCCCCAAACATTCTGTAAATTGCATGGTTTACCCCTGAACATTAAAAAGTGCACTGTTTACCCTCGAACTCATCAAAAATTGCACGATTTAGCTCTGAACACTAAAAAGTGCACCAAATACCCTTGAACAATTCAAAACGTTGCACCATTGGTGCTAAAATGCTAGACAGGGAGTGTGTTGCTCCCACGGACGGGAATTGTGAGTATGATTCATCTGGCCCTTGTGAATTCTCTAAAGTACCCTTTCCCCAAATTATCGTCTTTATTTAAATGTTCAGAGGTAAATCGTGCAATTTCTGAAGAGTTTAAGGATATTTGATGTACTTTTTAATGTTCAAGGGTAAACCGTGCAATTTCTGAAGAATTCAGGGGTATTCCGTGCACTTTTTAATTTTCAAGAGTAAACGGTGAAATTTTTAAAAAAATCTGGGGGTAAACGGTACACTTTTCTCATTAAACATTTTTGCATTTGAGAAAATACACGGTTCTTTTGGCACTAGTTTTGAGTGACATGATAAGACATCGAGTCCTTTTGGGACTTCATTGCCCTAAAACCGAGTCCTATCCCTTAAACCCACCCCAATTCAACCTCCCTACCCCGACCACCCACCCTAACATTTCAATGAAAATGTTAAGGGGGGGTAGGGGTGGGAGCTGAGGGGTAGAAGAATCGGTAGGTTATAAGACTACTTGCTCTCGGACCCAATGAAGCACCGTAGCGCCCGAAATGGCTTAGACTCATTACGTGACCGGTGCCAAAAAAACCGGCTTTGGCCAATAAGATATAAGGCATTGAACAAATGGAAGACAAAAAAACAATAGGAATCACCTTGTAATAGTTAAGTAGTTGTGGCCTTTTAAGCTTGAAGGTGGGGGTGACGAGATCCCTCTCAATGTCAAATGGGATCGCCTCCAAGTGAACCGCCCTTAACATATCAAAGCCGCGTAGCTGACAAATTCGCATACATATATGAGATTGGTCACAAAGATCGAAGCATATAGAATGTGCGACAAGAAAACAAATATATTTCTCATCTTTTTTTCTGATAATCTATGGGTTTTTTTATAGTACAAATGTCAAAAACCCCAAAGTTTGTGGTTGTACGTACTTGGTGTTGTTTAGCAGTTTTGTTCAGCTCGTCCAGAACGAACTTTCGTGCCTTGTGGTTCTGACACAATTCTACAAAGTCTCCAGTTTCTTGGTTACTCACAGCCCATTCTTCAAGTGCCTTTCTCTCTGGAATCGCGACTGCCACCAAGAAAGATTCAAAACTGTTGCCGTACACCCAAATCTGTTACAAAACCCACAGAAAGACATGAACTTGCGAGTTTCTTCGATCTCGCCCATACGAAAAGAAGAAAGAAAAAGATTCAAACTTACTGCAGCCACATGAGGGCATCTTAAATAAGTGCTTTCCAGGCTCTCCACGGCAACATATTCCCCTTGAGACAGCTTGAATATGTTCTTTTTCCTGTCAATGATTTTCATTGCACCACTCGGCTGCCATTCCCCGATATCACCTGCAAAATTTCACTCACATTTTAGGATAGAAATGTCCAAGAGCATTCAAAAAGCTCCAAACGTGCCAAAAGCACCGTTCCGTAGCTTTTCAAAAATGAAATGAGATTTTGAAATGTTACTTTGTAACAGCCTCTCTAGTTTCAAGTAGGGGCAAGGTCTGTGTACATACACTCTCCAGACCCTACTTTGCCTTTCGTGTGATTTTACTAGGTTTGTTGTTTTTTACCTGTATGGAACCATCCATCCACAAGAACATCTTTTGTGAGATCTTCGCGCTTATGGTATCCTGAGAACAATGTCTTTCCGCGCAAACATATTTCTCCACGGGGAATGGTGGCTAGCGCATCGTATCCCATCTCAGGCACTGATTCAAGTCTTGCCTCAATTGTGGTCATTGGGACACCGACTGTCCCTGTCATAGGGTACACATTGGCTATGGACGTCAAACATCCTCCACAGCTCTCAGTGAGCCCTGAATTCCATGTCAAATAACCAGCTCAGCCAAAAATTCAAGGTTGTGACTGAAGGCAGATGAAAAGTTTTAGTAAATGGATGCTGACATGGAAGAAAGAACGTATACCATATCCTTGAGACAAGACACAGCAACATGTCACCCTCAAGAACTCTTCCACGTGTTTGGGCAACGGGGCGGCTCCAGATAGCATAAGCCGTACCCGCCCCCCAAAAGCTTGTTTGATCTAAAACGAATGACAAATCACTAAGAATCGTGAAGATATTGGGTTGCAATGAAGAAAACAATCCTTGGGTCCACCACTAATGTTGTTTACAAAGAAGATTTTCGGAATTTGTAATTTATGTTATATACTCCGTAATTCGTAGGGACTGTTTTTTTTGCCAAATACTCCACAAGCAAATGTATTATGATTATGATCTTAATTGATTGAAATTATAGGTGAATATGGAAAACATAATAATTATTGATTTTTGTCCTCTACTATATAGTATATATCAATGTTGTATTCATAATGCATGGGTATGAATCTATTCTATCTAATAGAAGTTGAGTTGAGTAAGGACTTGTTTGGTTTGGGGATTCTGGAGGGGAGAGGGGATGGTTGATACATGTTTTACTGGTTTATCTCTATTTGCTAGTCCTAGAGTATTAAATATCTATATACTTGAGTAAAAAATATGCATTTTTATATATGAAGTACACTTTTTCATATTCACAATTCACATTCTTCCCGATCATCATCATCTAAACTTCTAAATGTAAGAAAAGAAACTGCTTTAGAAAAATGTCACTTTTCCTCTCCCCTCCTAAATCCTCCAACCAAACAAGGCCTAAAGAGTGAAAACACTGACCTTGTCAAACACCAGCTTGTCAAACAAAGGAGCTGCTTCTTCTTGCCTTAGCCCTTTTTCCAGATTCTTCAACTTGCTGTCAAAAAACCTCTATGTTACTGGTTTCTTATGCTCCGTAACACTAAACGAACAAAAGGACAGAATAGTAAAACATACTAGTTATACGCATAGTGAAAGAGAAGGTTCTTCATCATGCCACCAGCCAGTATTTTATCCATTGTGGCTGCACAGAAGAGGAAGAAAAAGTTGAATTATAAATGTTATCCATGCAAGTATCAAAACAAACAGTTCGTTAAAAATTCTGACTTGATCGGAAGTAAAAAGAAGTAAAATACGAAGTAGATCAAAGGCATGCATTGATTCTTTACCTGTGTATATCCTGTCATAAACTCTTGGAACCCCGCAAAAAATAGTTGGTTTTAATACAATAAGATCCTCAATTAAGAACCTTATATCCTGCAAGTCAGAAGCAGAATGACTTTCGACTTTAAACTACTGCAAGAGTAGATTTGGCCCGTTTGGAATCGCGGAAAATGTTAGGAGAAAATGTCATGGAAAGGTGGTCTTTTTAATGTTTTTTTTCATCTTGCTCACTGTTTTCCTCAAAACTTTTCATTCCCTAGTATATTTCAGGTTCCAAACGGACCCTTAGTGGTGTTAGTGTAGGAACTAAAAAAATCAATGGATGATGATAGATAGCATAATGAAAGGAACCAAAAAGTGTGTATCTTACGCCTTGCCAGAATCCTATTGAAGCACCACTGAGTATGCAATATGTCTCAATGACCTGATCAAATATATGAGCCAACGGAAGGAACGAAAAGTAAACATCTTCTGGCGAACCCTGAAGCAAAGAAAACAAATGAGAGCTGAAACACACCAGAGGGAATGTAAAGTGATCAGTTTCATGTTTGGAAACGAAAGCTAAAAACTTTTACCGCTTTGTCTGTTAACAAAAGCAGTTGATCCACAGATAAAACTTCAGACATGAACGCCTCGTTACTTAGAATGACACCTTTTGGTTCTCCTGTTGTCCCACTGGTATACATTATGGTGCACACATCTGTCTTCTTTTTTTGTGGTAGTTCGTCGTCCAAATTTCCCTGGGAAGGATTATTAAATCGTAGAAGAATTAGATTGATGGCCAATAAAAAAACTCTATTGCAGAGTGGTTTGACTTACCATTTGACTGAATTCTTCCCAGGAAAAGCAAGATACACCGAGTTGCTCAATTTCCTTTTTTATCTCACTAGAAATATTTCCAAAGCTGACAATGGCTTTAAAAACGAAAGATATAATATGTTAATCCAAGTATTTCCTTTTTTTTAGTTTTTCAAAAATGGTAATGATTAACCTACTTTTCAGATGTGAGGTACATCTTGGCAAGCAAGTTAGTATCTGCAAGAGATAGTCACATACATGATCTTAAACACAGGAGGCCCCTTATCGAGGAACAGAGTTGACAATTGCGATATTCAAAATATATAAAGTAAAAAAGAAAATTATTACACATTTCTACTAAATAATTTATACTCATATAGAAACAGCCTAAAAGAACAATAGATGCAATATGAATCAGAGTAGCTATGCTTTGATTAAAATCAACTTTGTTTTATCACGAATACGCAAGTATAAGAACATACAGCTGATATCTTGCTCTCTTGGATGAAAGCTATTGACAATTCAGCATGGTTAATGATGAACTCCACTGCATTTGCACCTATATTTCAAGCAAGATAAAAAAGAACATTAGCCCATTTAAACTTATCCTTGACGATAATTAGTCTTGTGATCTATCCATAATGAATAGGTAAAACATACCAAGAGTATCATAAAGAGGTACGTAAGTGATTGCTTGGCTATTGCAAGCCTGTGGAAGAATTGAACAAACCCAAGAATATCAAAATAATGCCAGTCTATAAATCGATAAGGGGTTGTTTGGAGGATGGAGAGTCTAGTCTATATCTTCAGATTTGTTTGAGATTTTAAAAATTAAAAAATTAACATAATATGTGGTTTTCACAGTTTACTAACATAATAGGTGGAAACAAGTTTTTGTTAAATATACTTGAAAAACCACTTATGAATATAACATACCTCCATTGCCATGATCCATTCTGGAGAATTAGAGCCATAAATGCCACACTTATCACCCTAAATAAATAGAAATCATTTGTAGAGATAAGTTATTGAGCATATAGGAGCAAATATATTTTGCTGATAGAGCTGCCTTACAGGATTGACACCGCATTTTCGAATAGCAGATCCGATTCTTTTGGTTGCATTGTAGGATTCTTCATATGTCATCCACACATAAGAACCTGCCTGTAATGTGATCTTGGACTAATCAAATAAGCAACTATAAGATGTGTGGAAGTGCCATTCTAGCTCTTGTTTTACTCTTCACATGTTCTAAAGGAAGAGTCACAAATCTTTGGCTTTTAAATCTCAAGCATTCTATGATTAAACAACATGGATCTCTTTTTTTGCTACTGGATATGAAAAACAAATATGCTTATGAAAATTACCTTCTTATCAATGATCTGATGGCGACCAAGCATGTTGTTTTTTGGATTTTTCTTGACAGAGTCACTGCAAGAACAGGATCAAATGAAGGAAAGCGAGAAAACACAAATCATTATACCCATATCACATCAAAACCGGTAAGGAATGTTCACTACAATGCTAGGTGAAGAAATGTGGCTGTGTAATTACACTATTAAAGTAAACAACAATAAGATTGCATTCAATTCTTCCATTTCATCTACTTTCTTTCATCAAAGATTGAAACTTTCCTCCAAATAGAGTTAGCCCATAGCTCAAAAACAGCAATTTACCGAAAGGATTCATCTCATTGGCAAAGAACCCTTGAAAGTTACAGTTTATCCTTCAAAGAATCCATGAAAATTACCTGAAGAAGTCCCATGGAGACTCCAGCCTAGCAGGCAAGTCCATGAGAGCATCTTTAGCATAAATGCACCTATACACAGGTCCTGCAGAGGGCTTTCCATCGGCAGCAGTCCTGGCATCTTCAACTTTTACCACAAAATCTGTCATTTTATCCTCGAAATCAGAAAACCAGAAACTGGGTTCTACCAAAAATCAAAGAAGAACCACCCACACAACAAAAATAAATAATTTTTTTGAATGAATTTGAATGCTCACAGAAAAAAAGAGTGTAGGGTTAGTTGAGAAGATGCACCACTACAATAAATTCCAGGATTACATTTTAGTTGAAGACATCTCATCAATGGCGGCCATTAATGACTTTCAGTAAGTGTTGGTCTTCTTGCACATGAAACACTCGCCATATCATTTAAGATGGGTGGTTGAAACTTTGATTATAATGCTAGATTATGCTCAAATGCCCCTGGTTTTCACATACACGGCCAATCTGACAAAAATCACCATAATTATTGTGAAGTATGCTGGCAACGAACTACCGACTAGCGTTTACTATTTGATGAAAAATTTGACAAAAACAAACAAACTTTGGCAAGATTCAACCTCCAATTTTTTTTCGAAAAAATGCGTATACAAAAGGTGTATACCCATTATCCATATCTCCTCCACCCTCTCCTTGTCCACTAAAAAGGCAAAAAAATTTTAAAAAAATAAATAAATAAAAATATGTGGTGGAAAAGGAGTGGTGTACATTTGGGATACAACCCCTAGCATTGCTCTTTTTTTCACAAAAGAGCCATGCTAGGAGTACACCTTACACCAAAGGTGTACCCCCATTTGTCCTCCACCCCTTTCTCTACCACTCATTTTAACCCCATTTTTATTTATTTAATTTTGTTTTAATTTCTTGCTCATTTTTGTGGTAATGGAGGGGATGAGGGACAAATGGGGTACATCTTTGGTGTACCCCTAGCATTTTTCTTCACAAAATTGAAAATTGTTAGTGTACCTCGAAATTTACACCAACATAATTTTGAAGTACTCCCTCTTTTCAAAAACTTTTTTCTACTTTTGACATGATACGAAAATTAAAAAAAGTTTTAAAATATCAAAACTTTTTATGTTTACTCTTGATGTAGTGTAATAAAATGAATAGCAGAGATAAAAATATGGATATAATGGGCTAATGGCATTCTCATTAAAAAAAATTGTCAAAATAAGAAACAGGTAAGAAATTTGTAGACTACCCAAAAGAAAAAGTGAAAAAAATAACGGATAGAGGGACTACCATTTATTTGTGATTCCCAAAGAAAAGAGTGTTGTCAAAATTAAAAACGGTTGTGCTACTTACACCCCAAAAATGTACATCATTTTGCACATCAGTGTTGTGCACTACCAATGTTTTGCACTAGCAAAACACGAGTACATACTAGTATAGATTGTCAATGCAAACACTATCAATCACACTGATATTATGTGCTAATGTGTACAAAGTAGTGTATTTGTTGGGATAACTATAGCATTATCCAATTAAAAAGTACGGAGTAAATATTTCAAGAAATATAGAGAAATAATATTTGAGTTTTCTTTGACTGAGCCAAAAAGAATTGCATGTCAATTACATTTTCTTCTAAATATTTTATATCAGATCACCTGACTCAAGACAATGATTATATTAGGATCATAATAATAAGAAAATAAACACAAAATAGCAATATAAAATTATTTTGTTTTTTTATACATCTTTGTGATATTCTCACACACAAATGACACAATCGTGTAAAAATCATGCCCACCCAAACCTTGTTGGGGGGAAGGAGAGGGCCTATAATTAAAGTGGCAATGCCCAACCCTATGGGTACGGGTAAAGTGTCATAATTCAATTACTTGTAACATAAACTTGAAATGGGGGAGACAACATAAAAGCAAAATTGCTATAATTGTTGCCTTACACAAAAGAAGTAATAACAAGAAGACCACTAAAATTATTAGGAACACCACCTAATCATAATTATATTTCTATGTTTCCCTATGAAAGCAAATTTAATTCTTTGGTTTGATTTGATAGTATGAGGGAACCAACTCCAACGACTCATAAGCATACGTAGTATGTCACTTCCCAATATCAATGTTTTAAAAATCAGACCGGATATCGACTCGGAGGAGGGAGTGGACCAAGAGCTAACCGGTCGAACCGGTCAACTCGAGGGTCAACGACCTGGTCAAATATATGTAAATAATAATATTTTATGTTACCCTGTATATTATTCGACGACATATATGGTAAATAAAAGTTTTTTAATTTTTATTTTTTTACTTCTACATCTAGATTTTAGTTTCATTGTACATATACTCGGTACTATTTTACGTACACTTTTTGTTTTTTATTCTATTATTTTTCATTATTATTGCGGAGTACAAGTTAATAGTGAATATCTTCGAAGTACTCATTTTTCAAAAACATAAAGACTACATATTCTGTTCTTATATACTACTCCCTCCGTTCCACAAAACTCTTCCCCTTTCATTTTTTTTGAATTCCCTAAAACACTTCCACTTTCTATTAAAAAACCACTATTACCCTTACTTTTTCATACCCTACCTATCACATCAAACTTTTTCCCTAATAACCAAACTATCACATCTTACTTTTACCCATCACATCAAGGGCAAAATTGGAAAGTCAACCAAAATTACACTTTTCTTATTTTTGAAAAAATAAAAAATGCAATACATTAAATTATAATCAACATTTTAAAGATGAAAATACTCTGTATCATTTTAAATATAGATTTTATAATTACTTAGATAAAAAATAAATAATAGTCCCTCCGTCCCAGTTGAAACTTCTCGTTTTGACTTGGCACGGGTTTTAAGGTAATGTAAAAAAGAGGTTGAGTTTCCACTTTTGCCCTTTCCACTACAGCTCAGTGCACGCCTCCTTCTCCCTAAAACCATCAAATCAATTCATCTCTTCCTCAAAATCATACCAAGAAATTAAATTGAAAATTAAACTTATCAACAAAAAAAATCTTAAACTTCCTCAAAAAAGAGATTTGTTCAAAGAAAAACTAGACCCAAATTAGTCCTGCCATTGAAGAAGAGGTGGAGAAGAAGTGGGTGACATAAGTGAGAAATTTTCCGCTTGCCAATCAGAAAGTTTTGGGAAGTGGACGGACTGATGATGATCTGAATTCGGAAAACTTCATCACAGTCTCCTCGCAGGTGCTCGTTTCCAGCTGCTCGAGTAGGAGAGATCTGAAACCATATCTGAAAACGCATCCATATATATTCCTTCGTCGCTCGTAACATAGAATTAAGAAGTTGGATCTGAATTAAACATTAAAATCAGATCTCTTTGCCACTATCAAAGATGAAGAAGAAAAAAACGGGAAGGTGGGGATGGTCTAACGAATACAAAAAATGGGGGGGGGTTTCAAAGAAGGAAGAAAAAGAAGAAAAAAGATTAAAAAAAGAAAGAGGAAGAAGAAGATGAGGGTGGATGGGGGGTGGTTTCTGCAGGAAGAAGAAGAAACAGATGAGCGGAGAAAAAAAAAAAGAAAAGAGGGGCGTAGGTCTGACGGGGTGGGTTGGTGGTATGCCTTCAAACAAGAAGAAAAAATAAAGTGAGGGTAAATTAGTCTTTTTGAACAAAATTGTTTACCAAAAAAGGAAATGAGAAAATCAAGTGGGACGGCCCAAAAAGAAAAATGAGAAGAAAGATATGGGACGGAGGGAGTACTAACTTTTAGCTTTGAACTAATTTAAAATTTCATAAAATAAATAAAGAGTAATTGTGATAAACATATCGAGTATTCTCTATATTTAATAATTATGAATATTTTTAGGTTACTATGTATTATCTAAACATTTATTGAAAGTGATATATACTCCGTTGCAGGACTTAAGGAACAAGTTTATTATTAGCTCAGGTGGTTAAACTCCATCCTGAGGCGCGAAAGAACAAGGGTTCGAAAACTGGGCTAGGCACTTATATTTGTAATAAATGTTTCACCAAAACCCAGGAACCGGCCGATTCTACCCGTGTCATTCGAGTCGGCGGTTTTCCCGATTCTGGACGGGCCAACTCAAAAACGGGTTTCAACAATGAACCGGACACGTGAGAGGGTCACGGTTCAATCGGTTGAACCGGCCAGTTCGGTCCGATTTTAATAACACTGCCCAATATATGATACCTAACATTTTTTATTTCCTAATAACGATAAATATGGCAGTATGAGCGGGAGAGGGAAATGTCACTTCTAAAATGCAAACTATAGGTACTAAATGATTAATAATTAAATTAAGTACTATTTAGAGAATTTAAAAATTAAACACTATATTAGAAATATGATTATGATTTAGAACGTACTGTATAAAGAAAACTCTCTATTCATAATAGAATAACACTTTTAAAAGCATTAATTAATAAAAAGATTTTATTTCTTATTATCAGTATTGTTCCTAATATGCTTCAGCTTGCCCTATCAAACATCAGATTATAATGTCTACACTATTCAATGTCCTAATTACATCTATGAAAAAAAAAAGATATGGAGTAAAGAACAACAACGTAGGCGCATAATATATGTTGAATGTGTGTGTGTGAAAATTAGTGTACAAAAAAGGATTGTCCACTCGGTAAATATACACATACTCCTTTCACTCTTATCTAAATATCTGTTCCGCTTTGGGTATCAAACATTTAACCAAATATATATAAAAGTATACAATGAAATAAAATATAAAAATTATACCAAATTATTGATATCGAAAAATACTTTAAATGTATTGTTTTCAATATTTTTTTACTAATATATTATAAGAGATATTATTAGTCAAATTTTAAGTTTAAAATCTGAAACGGAGAGGTAAATAGGAATGGAGTGTGTTAGACTGCATCCCACATCGGAAGTCCAAGAGTAAAACAATCCGGTATATAAGCTCTTGATTTAAACTAACTAATCGATTGGATTCAATCTTTTAATGTGGTTCGACCCAAGTGTCTTATTATCCAGTCCAGTTGTCCATACTCATCCTAAATTCTCCCATCAGAGCAAGTTTTGGCCCACATCGTTTGTCAAGGTGTCCGTCTAGACGTTCATTCCTAGCGGCCCGTTAGTCTTTAGCCCAATTGTCCGTATGGAGTATGTATCCAACGGCCTGTGGCCCGTTTAACATGATTGCTCGTCTGGAAGTTCATACCCAGCGGCTCGTGGTCCTTTAGGTGTTGGCGCTCAAAAAAATATATTAAGGGAATGGGAGTTCATTTGCAAGTGGTCAACCGGTTAGATTCAAAATGGCCCAGTTGTCCACTTGAGGAGGGGTGTTAGACTGCATCCCACATCGGAAGTCCAAGAGTAAAATAATCCGGTATATAAGCTCTTGAGTTAAACTAACTAATCGATTGGATTCAATCTTTTAATGTGGTTCGACCCAAGTGTCTTATTACCCAGTCCAGTTGTTCATACCCATCCTAAATTCTATCAGAGTGAGTAGCTAGGTGGAAGGCATATTTTGTTGGTTCCAAGTTTAGTGGGGGAAGTGATGATTAATGTGTTTGTGTATGATCAAAGCTGCATATATATATGTTGGATCTATGTGCTTTGTTTCTTCTTTTTGCTTTTTATATTGGAGCTACACTTTTATACGGAGTATATGGTGGGTTATATTGGATTGGGATTTTCAATTTTGTTTTTTTTCTGGAATATATATATGGTCGGAAATGCTAGAGTCACAAACAAATTATTCATAAACTTAACAAACTTGCCTTTTGTAGATTTTAAATTAAAATTAAATTCTCCGTATCTTTTATTATTTGAGTGCATCTTATTTCTAACAAAAATATTAAAAAGATAAGTTTGTGAATTTTGTGAAATGTTTATTTGTGACTCTAGCATTATTCATACACGATACAATAGATATATAAACACCATTTCACCTTTTCTAGTTCGTTTCAAAATAAAATCTACATGTTTTCTTTGTTTTCTCAAGCAACAAGAGGAATGATTTTTAAGGTTTCTCTCTCTCTCTTCTAATACATTTGAATGAATGGTAGTAATTATCTTTCACTTTTAATAATGTTTTTAATTTTATTTTCTATTTTTTAAATTTTATGAAGTCAAAGCGTAAATTTTTTTCGAGTGAATAGATGTGTGATTTTTAACGTCTTTGTCTTTTTAAAATGAATTTCAATTGTATATTTTATCACTTTTTAACTTCTTTTGTTTTAAAATTTATGAAGTCAAAGCGCTAAATTTTATTTGTAGGAGAGAAGGAATATATATATATATATATATATATATATATATATATATATATATATATATATATATATATATAAGTAGACAATTGTTAGTGAGGATTTATAAAAGCCACCATAAGTCATAATCTATTCTTTTCCCTTTATGTTTTGAGTGGCCGAAACAGAAATTTTAACAAAACCTTTGCATGATTTTAACAGTTCTCCCATCATCTAAACCTTAAAAACCGTGAATTTCGGTAGTGGTTTGAACACTTTAGGGTACGTAGAGTATGATTTCGTCTCCTCATCACTCATCAAATTATGTTTAAAAAACTATCCGTAGTGTATATCAAAAGTTTTACAACATAATTGGTAACAAAAAATATTTTATTTTATCAAATAATCAATGAAAACGAACAAATAAACAAAAGGAAGGACGACCGAGATGGGTGCCACGGCAACATCGACCATCCCGGAGAGGGTGGAGTTATGGTTGATCACTTGATCTCACCGACGACATGTGCTTCAGACCATCTCTAATTGTTCACACTAAAGTCAAATCTAAAATGTAATATAAATTCAAAATGCAGTAATATATCTTCAACCCATTAATTACTTCAAATTCAAGCTCAAATTACAATATATTTATTTTATCTCTTTTTTTATACGGAGTAGTTTATGAATTAAAAAAGCTTTCAACTATGTATAGAAAAAAGATAAATGCATGAATACATAAACACAACTAATTGAAAAAGGCTACAACAAAAAAAGAGAAAAAAGAAACAAAGATACACACCATTTTAGTGACACCATTTTAACTCTAAACATTACAGAGATACACACAGAGAGTAAAAATCTGTATGGGCAGAGATTTTTACAATCTGATTGTGTTTGTGTAATGTTTGGAGTGAAAGTGATATTACCATTTTTAGTGTTCCTTTAATATTTTTGTATGTCAAATTGTCTCCTTTAATTTGGGGAAAAGGGTATAGAGAGTACTTATCATCACTGGACTATGTAGTTGAATCTCAAGATCTTCATCTGAATATGACCGGTCGGGTTCCAATTAAGGTTCAGGGATGAAGGCATGAGTTTAGGGCTAGAGACAACCAGTTCCGGTTCCAAAATAGGCAAAACCGGTACCCATCTTAGCTTAACCAAAATCGGGTAGCACCGGTTCCGAATCATTTTTCTTTATAAACTTTTTGATAAAAAAAAGTTATACAATTGGCTCCAAACTTTACTTTTTTTCTCGGTAGTAAATATTGTGAATCAACCTCAAACACATTAAAAATAAACATTAAAAAAAATTAAATCAGCTCCAGTTCTATAGTAGTTCTGACACCAAATATTACGAACCGAAACTGGGACATTTTCCCATGGTTCCGTGCGATTCCTGTACCGGTTCCAAAACCATCAATACTGGCTCCTATACCGGTTCCAAACCAGAACCGTGTCCAACTCTGAGCAGGTTGCTTTATCTAAACAAACTGGCCTCAAGTTGTTGTGAAGTGCTAAGTGGAACACCAAATACCTCATCTTAAGAACAATTGGTTTTGAAGCAATTCCAATTGTATCTTAACTAATCTTTTGTTTGGGAGAGATGGAATAAGAACGGAAAGAAAATAAATGGTGGAAAATAAAGGGGTGGGTGCATTTAATATGTTTGCAAAGTGGAAGAAAAAAGAGGAAGGAAAATAACCCTTTGTTTTAGTGACTAAAGAGTATTAAAAGATTAGTCTTTTTTAATGTAGTACTTAAAGTTTTTATTTCCTTAAATGGTGCTTGAAAAATGTCTAGTTGCGAGAATAATATTCAGTTATTGTGGACATTTAGTTTGAACAGTGGTCAGTGATACTGGATATTTACTTAAACAATGATTAATGGACATTGAACAATGATATTACATTGGTTATAAAAACATATGGTACTATATTGAGAAAGTCACTATGTTTTAATACTGTTAGGCAAATTTCTCAATTCCTTCATTACTTTAATTTTCCTTCGAAAATGGGAAGAAAGTTTAAATAATACTCCCTCCATCCACAAATAAATTTTATGTTCACTATTCACATGGTTAAACTTTATTCACTTTGTTGGCTTATTTTTGTCACTCATTTGATAAAATAATATAGTCATGTCACATCTAGTTTTGTAGATCTTTTGATATAGTTTTTTAATATGTACTCCGTAATTTTTATTTTTCAATTCTACATCATTTTTCATATAAAATGATTTGAAAATAACATCAGTCAAACATCGTAACGCGCAATGTAAAGTTTATTTGTGAACGGAGGGAATAGAAAGTAAAATAAATTTATTTTCCTTCCTCCCTAAAATATCTAAACAAGAGGAGGGAATCAAACTTTCTACTTTTATTTTCTTTCTTTCCTAAAAAATTATCCAATAACAAGGGGTAAAACAGTTCAACTAAGCAACTCCCACTAATGATGTACACCAGATTTAGAGAATTCAAAAGTTGATGAAGTTGTTAAAAGATGATTATATTGATATAATGATCTCTCAATTAGTTCATTTCATGAAGATGTTTTCCACAAACTTACTTACCCGAGTGGTCAATTCCCCATTAAATGCCGCAACTGCATTTCCATTTTCCTTTACGCCATTTTCTCCGGCCTCCCCATTTAATGAGAGCGCCCAGAATGCCCCCAATTCCACGTCTGCCCCGAGCCAAACTCATTAATGTCGCCCGCCCGTATCTGTCCCACCCGACCCGGATCTCAGCGGGTCCTCCGTTCGGTTACTGTGCCATCCGTCCAACGGTGATCGCCGCATTTAATTCTCATGTCCCCCTCCGCATCACCGCCGGTTGTATCTCTCCGGCGACAGCAGCGCCTCCGGATCGCCGCTCCGTAGCCGGCTCGACGAGAAGAATCCGCCGGGACCGGCCGCGGACGATCTCATGAACATCGGGCTGGCGAACGACTTGGTCCGCCTCGACGAGCTGCATCCGCCGCCGGATGACCCGGGGAATAAGCTGAGGCTTCTGCGCCGGAAGAAGGGGGACTTCATCGTCCCCCTGTATTGCCGGAAGGAGAACACTCTCGGCTTCGTCAGCGAGCTGAACGGCGACGGACGTTTGCTCCAGAATCCTCCCCTGCGGTAGCGCCAGGGAGACGCGGTGGTGGCTTCCAGAATCAGCCTCTCGGATCCTATGCTCCTCTCGTAACCGAAAGAGTAGGACCGTTTCAGCAGGAAATCCGGGCCGTTGAAACGGCCTTCTGATGGGTTGCTATTCCCTCTCGGCGACGGCGCTTCCTGCGTGATCTCTCCTGTTGGTGCCACGTCAGATTCCAGCGGAATTTCCGCCAACGGCTCCAACATCCCGCTTTCGAACATCAGGTCGTCCAAGCTCGGCCGTATCCTCGCCGCCATCAATGGAGTGAACGGCGACTCCGGCCTGAAGATCCCCGCGCGGCACAGCGGGCAATTCGCGTGCGACCGGAGCCATATGTCGATGCACTCCACGTGGAACGCGTGCGAACACGTCGGAAGCGTCCGCAGGTAGTCGTCGTCCTCGAATTCCAGCAAACAAACGGCGCAGTCGTGAGCCGAGCTCTTCCGGCTGTAGATGGAGAGCGGGATTGCTTTGATCGCGGACTCGTCCAGTCCGTACGGAGAGAAAACGTACAAACCGTCGGCGGTATCGAACGAGTAGGGAGGGGACTCAACATCGTCGGCGGAGTACGACGGCACGTATCGCCTCCTCCAGCGGCGCCACCGTCGGTAGCGGCGGTGGACGTGGATGAGGTGGCGCGAAATCACCCTCGAGTAAGTGATTACTACAAAAGCCGCCGCGATGACGACCAGCATCGCGATCAATGGCGGACTGAAATATACGTGCAACTTGGACGGCGGCGGCGACGAGGAGATATGATGATGAGCCGCAGCGGCGGCGGAATGCGGCGGTGCTTGCCGAGAAAAGTTCCAGTGGTGCGGTGCCGGGAAGTGAGCGGTGCGGTTGATCATGGTAGAGCGTTGACGGTGTTCAACTAACGAGAAAGGAGAAGAAGTGGTGCGTGCGGTTCTGTGCTGAGTTGACTCGCGAGTCACGAGTGAAGGGGAGAAGAGTGGAGTACTGCTCTCCATCGCGTCCAATGTTATTACCATTTTGTCTGCCAAGTTTGTGAGTGGACACGTCAGCGTTTTTATAATCTGTTAATTTGATTTTTTTGAGTTAAAATAAAAGAGCTTTAATAAATAATTACTTTAAATTAAATTTGTACTGCATAAAGTTGAGTCAAAGTAAAATTTGAATTTTTCAACAAGATAAATTTAACTAAATCAATTTATTTTAAGATATGTGACATGTTTGGAAAATTCAAATTCAAAGTTCGTCAAATGGATTCAAGAAAATCATACTGGCTGAGTATATCGAAGGGGAGATACTATTAATAGAGTGAGGCATTTGTTGTACGGTGCACGTGCGACTTAAATAAAATTTTAATGGTATATATTAATCTTAAAAACATTAACGCTAAAGACTTCTATCCGATAACTTTTTTAAAACGCTAATATTAATCTCTAAAGCTGATGTCAAAAGAGACTATTATGTACGATGGACGACATGCATTACATTTGGGGAGCCAATAGCTTGACATGGTTTGTTGGAGATAACATGATTTATTTTGTACCAAATTTACCTCAAAAAGTATGTAAAAGTACCACTATCTTCACTCAAGGAAAAGTACCACTTTCAAATTGGTTAACGTTTTAACTTTTTTACCCTATTATACTCACATTTTAAATTTTTTTATCAAAATTTCTACATTAACAATCTATAAGATCACTGGCCCACAAAAATTGTTGAATAAAATCCACTAGTTAATAATTCATTTCACCCAAAATAAAAAACACGGTAAAGTTATTATCGTTGATTGAATTTGTTCTTAATTTTATTTACGAGCAGTCAATTTTGATTTAATTGTAATCTGTTGAAACGTAAAAATTTACTAGGTATTTGACCATTTGCAACATCTTAGCTTACTAACTTTGTTTTAATTCTGTATTGCATAGTCAATGTTTTAGATCATTTTCTAACATTGCAGATTAACATATACGAGTAATATATTAATATTACGGTTCCATTTGATACACAAAATTCATATTATGAAATTCGAATTGAGAACAACAATTCTAATTTTGTTGCTTGGTAGTATAAAAATGTTTGGATTTGGAATATATAGTTTAAAAAATGAATTGAAATTAGAGATTTCGATTTCTTCTAAATCTACTAAGAATTTCAAATTACAATTCAATTCCAATTCCACCTATTCTATATACCAAACGGACCCTAAAAGTATATCCAAAGAAATGCATCGACATTTTAATGATTCACACTAGAACAAAATGTTAGTTCAATTAAAAAAAATTGGACTGACATTTTTTGTCAATGTAAACCACCATACTAGTACAAAATGTCAATATATGTTTTTGGGATACAAATTTTGGTGTACAAATAGTTTAATCCATACAAAACAAATATGAAGCATAAAGTGCAACAAATCTGAAACCCCATGGTAGGAAACAAAACATAAAACGTGAATTAAATTCAATATTTAGAGCTTGTTTGGGAGTGATTAACTTCTGGATAAAGTGATTTTTACCAAAGCTGAAAGCAAAAGCACCTCATACTTGTTTCTCCAAAACGGTGTTCGGTGTATAAAATAGTGGTGGTGAAAAGCAAAATCTGACATGCAAAACAGAATAAAAATACTTCCACTCAAAGCAGAAGCTAAATTACTAAAACCAGCGCACTGCCAAACACCCTTTTAATGATAAAAAACGACTCTGGAAGATGGGGGAGAAGTGGACTTTCTAGCCAAAATTGAGTAATGGGCCGTTTTCTTTGGGTTGGAGGATTGGAATGAGGGAGTTTTGGGCCAAATTTTTAAGGTTTTGTGGCTTTGAGTTGAGGGTGCATTTGGGCTTGGCCCATTATTACAAACTATAGGATTGTTCAATTTTTTTGCTTATTATTTATTTTTATTAAAATCAGACCAAATCAAATTATATCAGATTTCATAAGATCAGATCAAAAATAACTATGAATATAATTAAAATCAGATTCAATAAGACAAATACAATTATTTGCCTAATTTAACATTTTTTAGTCAAGTTAGATGAATGTTGATTGTAAATTAATTATAGATTGCACTGCATACTATTTTAAAGTATTTGTTTCAAAAATTTTATTTTATTAACATTTCATGTGATATTTATGTAATTGATAGTAAATTTTATCCATTTTTTACTCAAAAAATCAAATAGAACGGTTATTCTAAAAAATAAAGAGTGATCAATTTTGTCACGCGAAGTATATTATTAGTGCTCAGTTTGCTTCTTCTGTTTTTAGCTAATTATTATTACTACGCCCGGATTTAATTTTTTTTATTTTGATTTTTTCTCATTTTTAAGAAAGTTGGGGTGTATGTGTCCAGAACACCCTTACAAAAAAAAGTGATTGTACTAGGGGTGGACACGGTACGGTTCCGGTTCCGGAACCGCCGGTTCCGGTACCGCCACCCCATGTCACCGGAACAGTCACCGTGCCGGCCGGTACCGGTTTCGCCCCCCTGTTTTTCTTTTTTTGCTTTTTTTAAAATTTTTAAGTACAAAATTTTAAATTGGCAATTGTTTAAGGAAAGAATGAAGTACCGGAATGTAGTTGTTATCTAAAAATGTAGTTGTTATTTAAATATTTTAAATGAATAATACACTAACTGAAGAACAACCACATTTAATATCCTGACCTTTCAAAAAAAGCGACGAGGTAAAGAACCGTAAAGAAACCCTCGAAGGAGCTTATATATCGCTCAGCTAAAAAAAACTAATTACATATTTACATTAACAAAAAAAATTATAACTTATTCTTCAGAACTCGGACTTCCATCTGTTGTTGCATTCATGTAATGCTCCGATTCGAGTTGGTACGTTGACTCTTGAGCTCGGCGTCTTGCCAAGAGCCAATCTTGGTTGCAAACAAGTGTTTCAAGAGATTCAGCGCTAAGACAACTTCGAAAGTCAGTTAGAATGTTGCCGCCAGCACTGAATTCTCGTTCAACTGCTACGGTTGATACCGGAACGGATAACACTTGTCTTGCTAGCATGCCGAGACATGGGAACATGTGTTCGTTCCGCTTCCACCATCCGAGCACGTCAAAATCCACTTCGTCTTCATCGTAATCGCATGGCACACCTTGGTACATAGCAAGTTCGTTGTGCGAGCTTACTGTTGTATCACTTGAACTCGTTGAAGAATGAGCACGTTTCCCTTTCTTTGCAAGAAGCCCACCGACTATTCCGGCAAAACCTTTTTTTGATTTCGGGGGCGGAGGTGGTGATGTTTCTTCTTGTACAATGTCGTATAACCCTTGATATTCCTCAAACAAATTCTCAAAAAAAGTTGCAGTATTATCTCTTTCTTTTTTTTCCATTCTACTAAATAAGAGTAGTAATAACTATTTTCATCTAAAAAACACTTGTAGTAATAATCAATTAAAATTTTATAATTTTCAATTTTAAAGCGTGGATCACAAATAATACCTATTTTATAAATATCAGGAATGTACAAATAATAAGAACACCATTTTTGTATCATAGGAGAGACATATGGGTACAAATCTAGATCAGCCTTACTTTCACGAAAACATGTTGCGATTGTAACGCACTCTTTTAAAAATGTATTTGTAGTTGGTTGGTAAACATGAGAAAAAGTTAGAGTTGCGTTATTAAAAACTTCTAATACGACATTCAATTTTTCAACAAGTACAAATTCAAAAGGATCAATGATTATACGAAGTTCATCACTAAAAAATTCAGCAAGTTCTCTTTATATTTTAGAATCTGATGAATCAATTTGTATGTACTATTCCGTCTAATGTGGATATCTTTTGCAAAAACTATTTCTTTTCTACGTTTAGACTTACAGAAAATCTTCCATTTTTTCGAAACAAGACGAGCCCCCCAAATTCTTTTAATTCCTTCTTTAATATTCGTCAAAACTCCGTCCATAGCTTCTAGTCCCTGTTGAACACATAAATTTAAAACATGACAGGCACACCGTTGATGCAGAAATCTACCCATAGCCGTAGACAGTGGGCAAATTTCTCTAAGTCTAGGAATGACTGCAGTATTAATAGTAGCATTATCAAAACCAAATGAAAATACTTTGTCACATAAGTTGTATTCCCGCAGAATACTCTGAAGCAATAGGAAAATATTTTCAGCAGTATGTTGTTCATTGAAATCACGAAATGCAAGAACACGTTTATGCATAATTCAATCACTATCTATCCAATGACAAGTAACACCCATATAAGACAAATTATGATAAGTTTCACTCCAAATATCAGAACAAATAGCAACACAAGAATTAAAATTAAGAAAAAAATTTGCCAAATTTATTTTTCCATTTTTATACTAACGAATAATTTCTCGTTTAATTGTTTTTCTTGAAAAACCTCGTGCTTGAGGGTTTAATGCCTGTTGACAATAATCAATAAAACCAAGTTTCTCAGAAAACATGCATGGCAAATTTTCTTCACAAATCATTTCGGCCATTTTTTGCTTATTTTGCTCGTCGCGATAAGCAAAAAGGCCGTCCTTACCTCTGTTAGCAAACCGAGAAATTTGGGTTTGCACTTCTTGTCGTCCCTTCTTTTTTGCCTCGTATTTGGCAAACTCCACGGGATGCCTCGACCTTAGGTGTTTTTCCGGACCGCCATAACCGCCGGAGACTCCCATTTTTATGACGGCCCCACAATGTTTACAAGTTCCATAAACTACGCCATCTTTTGTTTCTTTGTCAAAATGATAAACAAATAACTCTGATTTATATTTTTTTTACCTTTATCCGGACCTCGAGAGGTCGCGGGCTCACCTGTCTCCACGTCGACGTCGTTGCCCTGCGGTGTAGGCTCATCGTCCCCGTCCAGATTATCCAGATTTGCTTCATCAATATCTTCGAATACACTATCAAGAGTGGGGAGATTTGTGTCCTCTCTACCAGAATAAATCTGGTCGAATTCTTCATCCGTCATAGCGTCCCCGATTAAGTGATCGGGGATAGTAGGAAAGGAAGAGACGGAGTGTCTTCCTCGAGAAACGCGTGAGGTCGAACCGTCGGAGGTGACTTTTGCTTTGCCTCTACTCGAACTTCGGTTCACGGCGCCCATATCCACGGAACTTCTACCGGACTCTCTCGACATTTTAATATATATATATATATATATTGATATAAAAAAATAATATATTAAAATATAATATATTTAAAAAAATGTATAAAAGAGATAATAAGATATTAAGATTGAGAAATTAAAATGATAGATTGAGATATTGAAATTTGAGAGAATGAGAGAATAGAGATTAGAGAGTAAGAGAGATGGATATGGATTGATGAGTGTGATTT